AGTTTTTCCGGCGAACTTTCGTGCCTCTCGACGACTCGAGAGCGGGAAGCTTTAAAACCCTGAAAGGCTCGGAGCGGTCGGGCATAAAAGAAAACTTGTGCCCCGGACCGTTTTTGTTCCGCGAGGAAGAGTTGGGGGAAACGATTCCGCCGGTTCGCCGGTCGCTGGCCTCGCGAGATTCTTTATCATACACTGGCCGGGTCAACAAACGATTCCAATTAGCGATCGGGAACAAAGAGGGACGAGACGAAACGGAGGGAGGAGAGCGGAGGCTGTCTTGGACGGTCGGGCGCAATTGCGGCGAAATTGCTGCGACTGAAGTGGCCGGAATTACAGAGGCAAAGAATGTCTGGCCTCCATGTATTATCGAGTTGCAATTGCGAGGGCAACCGGCCGACACCCGAGTACACACGCGTTTAACGCATTGCGTACCGATTACTTTTCAGAAAACCGAATTGGTCGGATGGAAATTTTCAGTGAGATCACCTTATATTGCTATACATACAAAAACTCATATATCATACTGTTTTGTAATGCATTTTAAATAGATAATCAATTCCTATCAAATTTTATATTTTTTTCAATGCTGTGGTAATTAGCAAAATTGCATAGCTAAGTGTCTTTATATGAAAACGAGATATATATATGTATACCACACCTCTGTATGGCAAGGTTTGACGCTGCTGCGTATCATAAATGTAGCACTGCGATTTGAGATTGATAGGATTTCCCACTGCGCAATTAGATTAGATTATAATGTGCATAGCTATTGACAGAGAAAGACTTGTGTCGCTATGGTGGTGTACTGTTTAAAAAAATGATATACACGAAAGCCATTATAGTAGCGTATAGTAGCTAGAAGGTTAATATTAGGCCGTGAGAGTCATCTCTGAAGATGTATCTGTTGGCTAACGCTTTCACCCGCCGGGGAAATAAGTTCGCGGAAGATCGAAATTCTGAAGATGACAGCGGCAGCTGGCTGTGCAATGGCTGTTCGAGTTGTTCCGAACGTTGCGATCTCTGGGATAGAGATTTTTTGGGAGTAGAATAAGACTAGTTAGGAAATTTTTTGAATATGTTGAATTTTTGGTAGGTTTTTGGTGTTTAACACCAAAGTCTTAGTTTAA